TTAAACACTTCGTTTGATTTTGCGTATTGCTCAAAAAGATACGCTGTGAACCCAGGATTCGAACCTGCGCGAATAACCCATTGGATTTCAAGTCCAACGCCTTAACCACTCGGCCATCACGAAGCTCTGCCATTTCACCCCTCACTGCTAAAGGGAACTATCTTGTAGAAAGTCGGATTTGGTTAAATAGCAAAAAGAAACTAAAGACGCTGTGAACAGGATTCGAACCTGCGCGGGAATATCCCATTGGATTTCGAGGTCCAACGCCTTAACCACTCGGCCATCCCACAGCACTCCACGTCAGGGGCTTCAAACCACTCAGGCAACTACTCACGAGGGGTTTCACCATCTCAGAGTAACACATCAGCACAATTCAAAATGCAATATAACCAATTCTGTCCACATCACACTCACCCATACACAGCACACAATGTTTCGGAAATAAAACGGCAAACATTTAACCTGAGTTTCTAACTTTTAACTTGGATTTCTTTCATTCTCTTTCTCCCACTCTACAGTTTGCGGTCCCTTTTCTACTCGAGCAATTATTTGTCTTATTTTGTGCCAGCGAGCAGTATTCACAAGTGACCTTTGAGAGCAGGATTCAAAAGAAGGACGTTAATCTCCCAAAGTGCAAAAAGATACGCTGTGAACAGGATTCGAACCTGCGCGGGAATAACCCATTGGATTTCAAGTCCAACGCCTTAACCACTCGGCCATCACAGCTCTGCCATTCACCCTCACTACTAAAGGGGAACTATCTTTGTAGAATGTCGGATTTGGTTAAATAGCAAAAAAAAACTAAGACGCTGTGAACAGGATTCGAACCTGCGCGGGAATATCCCATTGGATTTCGAGTCCAACGCCTTAACCACTCGGCCATCACAGCACTCACGTCAGGGGCTTCAAACACACACTCAGGCAACTACTCACGAGGGGTTTCACCATCTCAAGAGTAACACATCAGCACAATTCAAAATGCAATATAACCAATTCTGTCCACACATCACACTCCACCCATACACAGCACACAATGTTTCCGGAAATAAAACGGCAAACATTTAACCTGAGTTTCTAACTTTTTTAACTTGGATTTCTTTCATTCTCTTTCTCCCCACTCTACAGTTTGGCTGTCCCTTTTCTACTCGAGCAATTTTATCTTATTTTGTGCCAGCGAGCGAGTATTCACCAGTGACCTTTGAAACAGGATTCAAAGAAAGACGTTAATCTCCCAAAGTGCAAAAAGATACGCTGTGAACAGGATTCGAACCTGCGCGGGAATAACCCATTTGGATTTCAAGTCCAACGCCCATACTTAACCACTCGGCCATCACAGCTCTGCCATTCACCCTCACTGCACTAAGGGAACTATCTTGTAGAATGTCGGATTTGGTTAAATAGCAAAAAACTAAGACGCTGTGAACAGGATTCGAACCTGCGCGGGAATATCCCATTGGATTTCGAGGTCCAACGCCTTAACCACTCGGCCATCCACAGCACTCACGTCAGGGGCTTCAAACACACTCAGGCAACTACTCACGAGGGTTTCACCATCTCAGGTAACACATCAGCACAATTCAAAATGCAATATAACCAATTCTGTCTACATCACACTCACCCATACACAGCACACAATGTTTCGGAAATAAAACAATGAACATTTAACCTGAGTTTCTAACTTTTAACTTGGATTTCTTTCATTCTCTTTCTCTCCCACTCTACAGTTTTGCTGTCCCTTTTCTACTCGAGGCAATTTGTCTTATTTTGTGCCAGCGAGCGGTATTCACCAGTGACCTTTGAGCGGGATTCAAAGAAAGACGTTAATCTCCCAAAGTGCAAAAAGATACGCTGTGAACAGGATTCGAACCTGCGCGGGAATAACCCATTGGATTTCAAGTCCAACGCCTTAACCACTCGGCCATCCCGCAGCTCTGCCATTCACCCCCTCACTCACTAAGGAACTATCTTGTAGAATGTCGGATTTGGTTAAATAGCAAAAAAAACTAAGAGACGCTGTGAACAGGATTCGAACCTGCGCGGGAATATCCCATTGGATTTCGAGGTCCAACGCCTTAACCACTCGGCCATCACAGCACTCACGTCAGGGGCTTCAAACACACTCAGGCAACTACTCACGAGGGTTTTCACCATCTCAAAGGTAACACATCAGCACAATTCAAAATGCAATATAACCAATTCTGTCCACATCACACTCACCCATACACACTGCACACAATGTTTCCGGAAATAAAACGGCAAAGCATTTAACCTGGAGTTTCTAACTTTTTTAACTTGGATTTCTTTTCATTCTCTTTCTCCCACTCTACAGTTTTGCTGTCTCATTTTCTACTCGAGCAATTGTCTTATTTTGTGCCAGCAGAGCAGTATTCACCAGTGACCTTTGAAACGAGTTCAAAGAAGACGTTAATCTCCCAAAGTGCAAAAGATACGCTGTGAACAGGATTCGAACCTGCGCGGGAATAACCCATTGGATTTCAAGTCCAACGCCTTAACCACTCAGCCATCACGGCTCTGCCATTCACCCTCACTACTAAAGGGAACTATCTTGTAGAATGTCGGATTTGGTTAAATAGCAAAAAAAGCTAAGACGCTGTGAACAGGATTCGAACCTGCGCGGGAATATCCCATTAGTTTCGAGTCCAACGCCTTAACCACTCGGCCATCACAGCACTCACGTCAGGGGCTTCAAACACACTCAGGGCAACTACTCACGAGGGTTTCACCAATCATCTCAGGTAACACATCAGCACAATTCAAAATGCAATGCCAACCAATTCTGTCCACATCACACTCCACCCACATACACAGCACACAATGTTTCGGAAATAAAACGGCAAACATTTAACCTGAGTTTCTAACTTTTAACTTAGTTTCTTTCATTCTCTTTCTCCCCACTCTACAGTTTGGCTGTCCCTTTTCTACTCGAGCAATTGTCTTATTTTGTGCCAGCGAGCAGTATTCACCAGTGATTTGACCTTGGAGCAGGATTCAAAAAAAGAAAGACGTTAATCTCCCAAAGTGCAAAAGATACGCTGTGAACAGAGTTCGAACCTGCCCTGAGAATAACCCATCCCAGGATTTCAAGTCCAACGCCTTTTTTTTCTTTAAAACATTTTATTCACATGATGAGATTATTACAGATGCAGACGAGTGCTCACACTACCACCCAAAATTTAAAGAGAGTTATCACAGAGTTTAGGTGGCAGCGACTAACAGTTCATTTCTAAAGGCAGGAAAGATATTGAATAAGTTTTGTACAGTTTATAACAATATGCATTTATGACTATACAACACATTTCATTCAGTGCAAACAGTTTTACTCCTTAGAAATATATACTTAACGCAGTGAAAAGCATCTTGAATCTAACGGATCGTTTGAGAACAACCTCATTTCCGTTCAACTCCATGTATGTGTTGGTCATAATGTATTTTTGAATGAAGATGTGTGATTGATTTACTTTCAGAATATTTAAACAGCAAATATCTAAAATGGCGCCTTATCATAGTCTTGAATAATGCCCTCACATCAAATGAGATGGTGTTGTGACTTGTCATTATAACTCTCCTTTTAAATACAGACAGACGATATATTGATAATACAATATCTATGAATGGTTTACATGATAATTTCTTTTCTGGTAGGAATCCTAACAGGTAACCAGAGTGACAGCTGTCAAAGGGTAAACCCTGAATCATGGCACACATCTGTCAACATTTCAATTACTATTGTTTTGCAAAGGAAGATAACTCTTTGCAATAGATGAAGAGAGATGTAAAATGTCTTCTGTTTCACTTAGACACACTGGGCAAACATCCTGTGTTTGACAGTCCAATTTTCGAGTTTTTCATATGTAAAGACAATGTGCATGAGCAATTTTGAAATCTAACTCTACAGAATCTGATGATTTATCTGTTTGCCATACATTTAGCCAAATATCTTTCAATTAATATCTAAGGCAATGTTATCCCACCAGCAGATAGCTACTGGTTCCTTGAAATATTTTTTTCCTGAAAATTTCATAACAATATTTAGCTGTAAATACTTCAACAGATACATCCTGTTCAGTTCAGCAATTGTGCAGATAATGTCCCTTGAGGAAGTTTTTTGCCAACAACAGATAAAATGATCCTTTTCCACTCTGACGGAAGCGCATATAAAATAATCCTATAACATTGTTGTATTGTACTTGTGTCTATCTCAGGTAAGGTGTCATGGACTATTTTTTCTCAATAATTTGTTCAGACATGAATTTGGGAATGACTTCCAAGCAAATATGTTTAATACAAATAATCCCACTTGAAATGAACGATTGAAACATGAGAGTTTTTCCATTAAATGTAATCAGTGGATTTTTAAACAGTGGTTGATTCATTATATCCATTATATTGCGAAGTAATGGTCTTTTCCTTCATTAATTTCATTCCATGCAGCGAAAAGCTCAGCATAAAAGGGCTTATATTCTGTAAGTAAGACTTATCATATTCAAGAGATAAGGCATGAACTCCCAAGTTCATTTGTCAGGAGATGAGACATAAAATATTCCATGGTTTGTTTCCAAATACAGCTGAGCTGGCTATTGACGAAAGCTCTCTCAACAATTTTAGCCTCAATGCATATTTTTTTAAACGTAAGCTTGGAAGATTTAAACCTCCATCAACACAAACACCAATGCAGGTATCAAATGCTATTTTGGCAGTCTTATTGTGCCACAAAAACTTCCTAAACATCTAGAGCAAATTTATTTTCAACCCACTGTGGAACAGGTATTACAGTAAACATATACCACAAGCGAGAGCTCATAAGTACATTTATTACAATGGCTCTGCCTTGTAAAGTCAGTTGTCTTCGAAGCCAAAATGAATTTAATAGCATTTGTATTTTTTAGTATTTTTCTTTTCCCAATTTAGTGTTTCACACAGTGTTTTATCACGTACCAAAGTAAATGCCTAGTATTTCTATACAATCTCTCTTAACTTTAACCGGGAGTTGGATTAAAAAATCACGACACCTATTTTTGCCCAATAACAAAATTTCAGATTTTTTTTCAATGTTGATTTTGGCACCCGTTGCCTGACAATATAAGTTGACTGTGCGAAAAGATTCAGTAGCAAGAGCTCACATTTTGAGACAGTGATTGTGGTTGTCATCAGCATGTTGATAGATTAAAGATGAAAATGTTTTTGATTTTGATACCTTGAATGAGAGGGTTGTGTTTTATCAACAAATTTAATGGTTCTGATATAAGAACAAATACATCGAGCTCATCGGATCTCCTGCCTTTACCTCCACGTGATAATTTGAAATATGGACTTAAATGTCCATTACATGACAAGAACTTTTTTAATGTCTGTATATAAAATTTTACCCAAGTTATAAAATGATTCCCAAAATTGAATTTCTGTAAAATATCTAACATGTACCTGTGTGAGCTCACTCTGTCAAAAGCTTTCTCTCTTGATCTATTTTTGATCAAAAACGCATCCTCATCTTCATGATCAACAATATCAACTATATCTCTCAAAGGAGAATGTAAATTGTGCGCAATGTCTCTCCCAGGTACACAACATGTTTGTTCAGGGGAGATAATATCTGACAATACAGACTTTAGTCTTAATGACAATAATGCGTGATATTAATTTACAATCAACATTAATTAGTGAAATAGGTCTGTAACATTTTATATCCTTTTATCACCTTTCTTTTTATAGAACAAACTAATGACGCTAGATTTCATAGAACAGAGATAATTCCTTCTCTTCAAAAATACTCTTAGTAACATGATGAAAAAGAGGGACATAAAATCTCCCAAAACCTCAGGTAAAATTCAACAGTCAGACCATCAGGACCTGGAGTTTTGTTACGTTTCATTCCTTTCAATTGCATCTGTCATTTTGTTCTACAGAAATAGGAAGATCACAATGTTCTTTCTGTTCATCATTGATAGTTTTGTGTATCATATTTACAACTTCCTGTTCCTTATAATAATCAAGTGCTTCATCTGTGTATAACTTTTCATAGAAAGATTGTGCAGCGTTTACAATGTCTTCCGTCGTTCGCAACAATGTTCCATCTTCAGCAATGAGCTCTTTGATCGAGTTAGCTTGTTGCTTGGATTTTTCCAAATTCAAAATATAGAAGTGCATCGATCTGACTCAAGAGTCAATTGTGCTTTTGATCTTAAAATAGCACCCTTACAGAGTAATATTGTCATAATCTTCCATTTTCTTTTCTAAATCACACAGTTGTGTAGATTCATAACCAGGTATAGTAGCTAATTTGTGATATTCATTTCGAGAGTTTATTTTGAGTTTTGTA